TTTCTGTAAATACCCAGTAGTTAAATTACTGGATCATATGGTAATTCCATTTTTTAAATTAATTAATTAATTTTTAAGATTTTATTTATTTATTTGACACAGAGAGAGAGTGAGAGTAGGAACATAAGCAGGGGGAGTGGGAGAGGGAGAAGCAGGCTTCCTGCTGAACAGGGAGCCTGATGCAGGGCTTGATCCCAGGACCCTGGGATCATGACCTGAGCTGAAGGCAGACGCTTAATGACTGAGCCACCCAGGTGCCCCATTTTTATTTTTTTAAAGATTTTATTTATTCATGAGAGAGAGAGAGAGAGGTAGAGGCAGAGGGAGAAGCAGGCTCCCCAAGGAGCAGGGAGCCCGATACAGGACTTGATCCCAGGACCCCGCGATCATGACCTGAGCTGAAGGCAGACACTTAACTGACTGAGCCACCCAGGTGCCCTATTTTTAATTTTTTTGAGGCAGATAAAGGTTTGCTTTATTGAGTAACTGATCTGTGTAATTGCTGAGGCCACTGTGTACAGACAAAAGAGTGGTCTCTTCCTCCTTGGATAGAGTCTTTTTTTTTTTTAATAAAGATTTTATTTATTTATTTGACAGAAAGAGACACAGCGAGAGAGGGAACACAAGCAGGGGGAGTGGGAGAGGGAGAAGCAGGCTCCCCGCAGAGCAGGGAGCCCGATGCGGGACTCGATCCCAGGACCCTGGGATCATGACCTGAGCTGAAGGCAGTCGCTTAACCAACTGAGCCACCCAGGCGCCCTTGGATAGAGTCTTGATGATTTCCTCCTCCTTGGCCTGGAGCAGCTCTTCACGGTGCTTGTATGCTTCCTTGGTCTTAGATCTGTGGGCCAGAAGCTTCTTGTGCGCCTTGTCTGCCTCAGTTCGTGGATGTGTTTGATGAAAATACACTTGTTTTTCAACAGGTTACCCTTCACTTTCGGGTACAGGCTGTGATACATGGGGCGGTAAATCTTCTTAGATTCGAGGTATTAACTGAGCAGCCACACAGAATTCTCATCCTCCTCATCCAGGTCATCTTCTCAGGCATTTGAGTCTTGGCAGTACCTTTTCTCTTACCGATGCCCATATGCCTACCCTTGTGGCAGGCCAAGGTGATTTTCTGGTACTTGAGCCTGGGAATGAATAGTCACAGTCTTCTGGATGATCAGCCCATCCTTGATCAGTTTCTGGATCTACTGATGGGAGTTGGCATTGGTGATTTCACTGGGGTCCAAACAGACCTTCTTTTTGCCACAGCGGAGGACACTGGAAGCAAGCCTCTTCTGAAGCCTAAGTCTACTTTTGGCTGCCGCCATATTGATAAAAGGAAAGTATTTTTAACTTTTTGAGGAGCCTCCATACTGTTTTCCACAGTGGCTGTACCAGTTTGCATTCCTACCAACAGTGCAAGAGGGTTCCTTTTTCTCCACATCCTTGCCCCATACTTGTTGTTTCCTGTGTTTTTGATTTTAGCTATTCTGACAGGTATGAGGTGATATCTCATTGTGGTTTTGATTTGCACTTCCCTGGTGATGAGTGATGTTGAACATCTTTTCATGTATCTGTTGGCCTTCTGTATTTCTTCTTTGGAGAAATACCTGTTCATGTCTTCATATTTTTAAATTGAGTTATTTGTTTTTTGGGTGTTGAGTTGTATCACTTCTTTTTATATTTTGGATCCTAACCCTTTATCAAACATATCATTTGCAAATATCTTCTCACATTCCGTAGGTTGTCTTTTAGTTTTGTTGATTGTTTCCTTTGCTGTGCAGAAGCTTTTTATTTCGATACAGTCCCAATTGTTTATTTTTGCTTTTGTTTTCCTGGCCAAAACTGAGGAAGTTTTACTGTTGAACAAGACTTGGTGGGCAGAAGGATGGAAAGGCGGTTAATAGATAACAAAGTAGTTTGGTATTTGAACAATATGACAATCCAAAAGACCAAGTGTTATTTTGGTCCATACAGGAAAAGGAATGACTCAAAATTTGAAGAAGGGAGGGAGAGAAAAGTACTAGAATCTTAGTTTATCTTAGGGAGAGTGGTTGAGAGGTTTGTCTGCAGTAAATCTCCGTGGATACAAACTGGTCACTGCTTCTATTCTGTGAGATGATCTGCTTCCTTTTTCTATATCTGAGATGAGAAATAGTAACTAAATCCAATTACAAATTTTTCTTTACTTGCTTGGGGGCATCAAAGGTGGACTTTTTTCTTTTCTAATGGAGTCATTGTAAATTAGCAAGAATATATAAATTCTCCTCACAGTGCATGATGTAAGAACTGTAGGACATCTCACACTTACAAAAGTTGTCTCAAGAGGAAAATGGCCTATGTCTTACTGTACCACATGCTTCCTAAAGACAGGTTATCAAATAATTCTGTTCAGAGATGAAAATAGCATTGTGATATCTAAATGACCAAGATACCCCTGGTTTGCTTCACAGGATTGTCTAAGGGTCCCTTTCCAAACCTGTCAACTAAATGTAATATCCTGCTTACATGAAGATGAGCACCAATCTTACATCAGTAGGATTTGAACCTTTGAGTATTTTTCAATAGAAGTAGCACAAAAGGAAAGTTATTATTTGTGTCTGGGTAGAACACAGTATGAGAGAAATTATTGCATTGGGAATATCCCCATCTTTGTGGAAGCATGAACTAAAACCTTATTTAGGGCTATTTTCCTTCTGGAGTTTAGAATGCTTTTATTGCTGGAGATCAATTTTACAATGAGTGCCAATATGTCTCCGTAAGTTTTAAAAAGTAAAATGTGCTGCCACTAAAGTTTTGTTGTATAGAATCTAAAGGTATGTGTAAAAGGCAGACCTGAGGGAGGTATTAGATTAATTTTCAAGTTAGATTGATCTTAAGGAAAAATATTTTGATGCTGCTAATTTGTGTGCTACTCATCAGGAGAGAGATTACTTCTTGAATTGCTTTCCAGGGTGCATTTGAGTAACAATTAAATACTTGATAAATGAAATAAGCAGACACATATTATGTATTAACTATTCCAGTGACCCATATCACCTGCCAAGCAATAAATCTGTGGGATAATAAATTGGTGGATACTCTAGATTGGGTGGTCAAGGATATTTGAACTGAGATTTAAATGATAAGGAGCAGTCAACTATTTAGAAATGCAGGGTGACCTTTCCAGGTAAGCTAAGAAGCAAAAGCCTCAAAATGGGAATGAGCTTGATCTGTTAGAGGACCAAAAAGAGGGCTGCTGAGGCTGGAGTGGAGGGGCCTGGGGCAGAATGGTAGGACTCGAAAGTGGAAGGAGGTACAGATCATGTAGTACTTTTTTTTTTTTTAAAAGATTTTATTTATTTGAGAGAGAGAGAATGAGAGACAGCAAGAGAGGGAAGAGGGTCAGAGGGAGAAGCAGACCCCCCGCTGAGCAGGGAGCCCGATGTGGGACTCGATCCCGGGACTCCAGGATCATGACCTGAGCCGAAGGCAGTCACTCAACCAACTGAGCCACCCAGGCGCCCTCATGTAGTACTTTGTAAGTCAGGATGAAGAATTTAGATTTAGTGCTTAGGAAGATGGGAAGCCATCAGTGTATTTTAAGGGTAAAAATGCTCTGGCTGGTTGTCGTGAGTTATGGATTAGAGGAAGGCAAGAGAAGATGGGATGGAGTTGGAGGTAGGCAAAATGTAGGTTGGGGCAATTGTCCAGAACTGGGTGGTAGTAATGGGGATGGAGAAAAGTGAGTGGGGCTAGAAGGGGTTGAAAGAAAGGTGTGGTGAAAGAAGCCAGGTGGGCAGGCAATTAAGATAAGCCTCTAGGTCTAAGTAGGGAAAACCAACACCTCACCTACAGGAACTTTGGTTTGCATTCAGGCGGTAAGGACCCCTGAAGGACCTTTTAAAAACCAGTCTGTCCCAGTCACTGAGGACCTGGCTAATTAGTGACTTTTGATCTCTGGAGATATTTCTATAATCAGGGACTTGGATTTTTCACTCCCTTTGCTTTCTTTCTAGACAGGCTTCTTGGATATCAGGAGTGGGTGGTGGGTAATGGGGATCCCGAGGATGGTGAATTTGCCCTAAAGAAAAACTGGGGTACTACACACAGCCACTTACCTAGGCAGCCTCACAGTTCAAAAAAGAGAGGCAGGGAGGCTTAATGCTTATTGTGCTCTGGGCCAGAAGTTTTACATACTAAATCTCATTCCCTCCTTTTGATAACTTGTGAGGTGCATTTTTAAATACCAATTTTACAAAAGAGAGACAGAGATACTCAGATAGGTTATTTATTTTGTCCAAAGTCACACAGCTTGTAAGTGGTGGAGCCAGGACTGGAATCAGAATGGGGCTCTCTCTGCTCCCCACACTGCCTCTGAATTGGAGTTAGTCTGTTTGCCTTCTTTTCTCATTACCACATAGATTCCATGAAGAGCTCATCCTGGGGAAGGCCATGATTTCTCTTTGTTATGTTTACTATATTGGCCTCCCCTACCCCGCAGAGTGCCTAGTAAAATGCTCAGCAAACATGCCTGCCTGGAGGCAACACCCCTACTTGCTGCCACATGTGGGGCTGGGGTGAGAGGCAAGGCAGGGCTGGTGAGGTGGATTGCTTTGCTGCTGCTGCGGCTACTAGGGAATGGGGAGGGACTCTGCTGCCTGAGCCTTGGCTGGAAGGCATTTTCCATTTCCTAGCCCCCTCCTCCTCCTCCATCCCTCAGCTGTCGCCCCTCCGTTTCAGCTCTGGCCCCTAGGGGAGCGTCACTTGCCGCGGGGCTGACAGCACTTGGGGAGCAAGGTCCCTGTTCTCTGCTGCTCTAGCTCTGTGCACAGAGCTTCGTTCGCGGGCGCCTGGTGTCCAGCGGGCACTGATGTCAAGCAGTGGCGGAGCGCTGCCTACAGACGGTTGACCTGGACCCTCCTCCCCACGCACTTCCTTCGTCGCCCCCTCCCTCTTGCCTGCACTCGGGCTCTGACTCTCTATAAAAGGCGGGAGCGTGGCGTGCCACAGCAGCTCCGAGTTTCAGCACCATGGAGAGCCCCCGTCTTCGGCCGCTGGCCCTGTTGGGTGCCGCCCTGCTTTTGCTGCTACCTCTGCTGGGCGCCGGGGCCCAGGAGGACGCTGAGCTCCAGCCCCGAGCCCTGGACATCTACTCTGCCGTGGAGGATACCTCTCATGAGAAGGAGCTGGTGGGTATCTCCCGGATCCCCCTTGGCTGCCGCCCGGTCCTTTCCTTTGTATTCGTCCATCTTCTTTCCCTCCTTCCCCACCCCCACTGCCTGAGTCGGGGTGCAGGGAGATGAGCGTAAAGCCCAGGCTTACATCTGTAAATCGTCTGGAGCACACTGCTTCAGGCAGTTTGTAGAGTGAATCTCCTGTCCCGGGCCCTCGGAGCAACAGGAGCCTCAGCGTCTAAGGGACTTGCGGTCAGTATGTGAGACAGTGCTCGTTAAGTTAATACCCCTCGAACGTCCCTTTCTGTCCTTGGAGTCCCAGGGTGGAATGCGTGTGGTTCCCGGGCTCTTTGTAACTAGGGCTGGGAGTGAGCACCTGGGTTGGGCTCGCAGCCAATGCAGCAACTTCGGGCTCCGGGGCGATGTGTTGCAGATCGAAGCGCTACAGGAAGTCCTGAAGAAGCTCAAGACTAAAAGTATTCCGATCTATGAGAAGAAGTATGGCCAAGTCCCCATGGTAAGGCTCTGGGATCACCCTCTCCCCATGTTTTTCTGAGAGGAAATATACCACCTTGAGTCTTATACATTGACCTCCCTAGGACGCAGTTAAATCAGGTAATAGGTTTGCAGAATTTTGTGGGCTCTTTTATTTTCCACCGCCAAATCATACCCCTTGGTTTCTAAGGGCAAAGAGTAGAATGGCCATTTCGGAGGATCCAAGAGCTGGTGCCAGGAACCAGCTCTTGGGTCTGTGTGGAAAGGAGCATTTCTTGAAGATGAGCTTTTTCCTCTCATGAAAAATTCTCTGAATTGGAAGAGCCCTTAAATCTACGCAGTTCTTATTCCTCTAATTTTCTTGCCATCTGGAGCACTGCCAGTTTTTCTGATCTATGTTTTAAGGTCAAAATTCTTGATTCTCCGCTTGTCACTTTCCTTGGGGAATTACACATGCACACACTCGTGTTCTCTCTCTCTCTCTCTCACACACACACACACACACACACACACACCCCTCTTCCTTGGGATGAGGAGTCTGAAAGCAGGGAGCAGAGGCTGTGAGAAAATACAGGTCTATTGTTTATTTCTTAGAAAAATGTCTGGTTGATTATTTTCTTTTTGATAAACAACAAAGGGAGCTAGAAAATGTACCCCCTCCCCCCAAAATAAAAGGTGGAATAAAGTAGGAGGAGCTCAATAATTTAAGTTTTTTTCTTTTTATGTTCTCACTGAAATTTTAAGGCTGTGTTTCAGGTCTGACCATACTTAGACCTCCGGTGATAGTGATAGGTTCCATCTATCTCTCCTAAGAGGCAGACATTGTGTTGATGGGGGAGATGTGCCTGTTGGGAGCCTGGGTTTGCTTTTGTGGGAAGACCACACATTGTGTTGTTTTCAGTGCCACGCTGGGGAGCGGTGCGCAGTGCGAAAAGGAGCGAGGATTGGGAAGCTGTGCGACTGTCCCCGAGGAACCACCTGCAATTCTTTCCTTTTGAAGTGCTTGTGAGGCATCCACCCGCCTCCATAAATCCCCACTGCCTCTACTTCCCCCAGAGGACCACACCTTCATCTCTGGAGTTCGTCTTTAGCAACAAAGTTTGCATTTCCCTCTGAGGGTTAAGGGGCTCTTTTCCTGCTGTTCCCAAATAAAAGAACACATTAGATGTTACTGTGTGAAGGATAATGCCTTGTATGGTGTTGATACATGTGCAAAGTATTCTTTTCTTATTCATCTGACACACTCTTTGTGTAAAGAAGGGGAACTTCTGCTTTGAAAATTGTATTTTTGTATGTGGTGTGGCCGGATGAAAATTAGATTTAGTTAATCTTGGTAGATGACATCACAACCTGGAAGATGACCCCAAATGACACAAATTGCAGCATGTACAAATTATACATAATAAAGTGTTTTTAATAATTGCTCATACTGTATCATTGTTTCTATGTCATAAGTAATTTAAGTAAGAATGGTGGAATTAATCATGCTGTTGTTTTCAAAGAGAAATATTTTAAAAATAGCAGCCTATTGGGAGTACAGCACCTTGGCTCCAAGGAGTTTTCATCGTTAATTGGGAGTTTGCCACACAAACTTTTGTGCACTGTTTTTCTTTGATTGCTGTGGGGTGTGTGTGTGTGTGATAGTGTTTATTAAAACCTTTAGTAGACTCCTTAATTTTCACAGTGAGAACAATAAAAGAGAAATTGTTTCAGACTTTAGGCTCCATTAAAAGCAGTTTGAAAAATTGGGATTTTTGTTTTGGCTACTCCTTTATTAGAAAATATTCATTGATAAGAAATGGATTCTTTGGGGGCTTGTTGTTTGTCCAAAGGATGGGAAATAGCTGTATTAGGTGTTTTAAGGGTGGGAGACCCACTTATTCCCACTACTTAATATACAATCTTGTATGGGGCAACTGGGTGGCTCCGTCTGTTCAGTGTCTGCCTTCAGCTCAGGTCATGATCCCAGGGTCCTGGGATTGAGTCCCATAGCAGACTCCCTGCTCAGCGGGGAGCTTGCTTCTCCCTCTCCCTCTGCCTCTCCTCCTACTTGTGTTCTCTCCCTCTCTGTCAAATAAATAATTTTCCCAAGATTATATATTTTTAAGATTTTATCTCGAGGGGAACAAATGAAAATTGATAGGTGGTAGATTCAACTCAAGAAATATAAAAATCTTAAAGGTTAGTAGCCTTTAAATGTTTCTGAGTGTTTACCCGAGGTCACATTTCTAAGGGCTTAAACCAGAGTAAATAACATGTAAGAAGAAGCATCAGGAGACAAACAGGGGCTTATGGTTTCCCAGTGCAAACTCAAGAGGCACCTGCATAATATTAGTATTAAGAAAGAAAATCCCTCCCCTGCTTCCTGGGGAGATAGAGTATGCTGATAGAAAATATGCTCATACATAATTGCTATTTGCAGTATTTTCATTGTTACTATTAGCATGGCTCATTCCCTTAATAATCTTCCAAGATAGATACTATTGCCATTTTTTGGAGAAGGAAACAGAGGTCAGGAGAGATGATGGAAATCATCTTGGTCAGGTCACATAATCCTAAATCCTGATTTCAGCTCTAATCCCTCTGACTCCCAAGATTTATTTGCCTTTTGCTTCCATAACACTCTGGGCAATTGAACAGGTTGTTTGGACTCCCAAATTCCCCAGAAAGCACTTCTTTCTTTAATAGAAATTAGCTCACTTGGGTGGCCGATGTATTTTTGGGAGTCACATTTCTATTTGAATTCCTCTTTGACAGGCTTAGTTGTGATTGAAATGTGTTACATTTTAATCCTGAAAAACTGCGAGGAGGTCATTAATGGTTTCATTGTCTGCTACTTTTCCAGAAAGTATTTAAGTTAAAATCCTGATCTTGAGCCCCTTAACTGTTCTCATTCGTGTCAGTCCTAAATAAATAAGATCAGGAAATTGCTTTAATCATTGATTACTGCACAGGCAGGACCCTGGAGGAGAACACTGAGAAGAGCTTCCTATCGCAGCCTGGAATGTTTCCCCAAAAGGAAGAGATGCTGGAGGACTTCGTGGTTCAAAGACAGGAATAAGAATTCTACTCTGACCCCTTTAACTCTGTCACCCCTACTTCTATGTCACCCCATTCTTTCTTGTTTCATTTGACTAAAGGATATGGACTTAGGGGTAATTGGTAATGAGGAATCTGTGGGCTGGTTATGAAAGGCTTTTTCCAAAAGTTTGGTCTGGGGATCCAGGTTTTAAGTTCATGGTGGTAACGACATTCTATACTAACGATGGCAACATTTAATCTGAAGTGGCTTGGTAGACGTAACCTTGCCTACTCATTTTGTCAGTACTAGACCTCTTCATTTTTTTTTCTTAAAGATTTTATTTATTTGAGACACAGAGAGAGAGACAGCACAGAGGGAGCAGGAGAAGGAGAAGCAGGCTCCCTGCTGAGCAAGGAGCCTGATGCAGGGCTCGATTCCAGGTCCCTGGGACCACGACCTGAGCCAAAAGCAGATGCTCAACACACTGAGCCACCCAGTTGCCCCTAGACCTCCTGTTCAAATAGAATGCCTTACTATGTTTAATGACTGAAGGTCTCTGTGGTAGAGGATAAGAATGTTAAATATTTTTAAAATTTTAATAAGAGAAGTAGTTATCCATGTGCAGTCACCATGTATGAGCCCCAGAGATCTTCTGAGATTGGCTTGAAGGATCAGGGGTCTGAGAGTTGGCAAGTATCTACATCTAAAGATCTGAAGAACGTTACAGGCATAGGAATGGTGTTTCTAGAACAGTAGTTCTCCCATGGTCTAGAGGTGATAGGTGAAAGTTACTAGAGGACTTTTCTCAACTACACATAACCACTGCCCTTCCTACAGTAATTGCTGATGTTTCACCCCTCACTCTTTGCTAGAATCTGGAGGCCTGTGAGGGACACATGCTATACCTAGGTACCCACACACCCTTCCCAAACCTGATAATAGTACATCGGATTCTGGTTATTGACAAAGATTCTTTCTTGACCAGACTTGAGTCAGGTTCTTGAACCTCCTTCTGAGCCTATCTATGCACTCCCTTATAAAATCCAGTTTCAGCAAGAATCCTGATAAATCAATTTATCAAGAGTCCCACATCCTTCTCATCTTCCACCATCCCCCAGGTGATGTCTGGGCACTTTGACCTGTCTTTAGCAAAGATCCTGTTAGGCTGGTTTATCTTGAATTTCCCTGACCTCTGATGTTTCCCATTAGTAATTTCCCATCCACTTCTTGGCTATAAATTCTTACTTGCCCATGCTATATTAGGAACTGAGCCCTGTTCTGTACTGAAGTCTCTTTTCCCCTATTGAAGTAGTCTTGAACAAAATCTATTTCTATGGCTATAATGACCAATTCTGGTTTTTCTTTGACAGGGGAGACTATTTAGGATTGTGTAGTTTAAATAAGATCCTCAGATTGTTCTGCGAAGCTTCCTACCCTAGAACCACTGCAATATTGAGCTTGTTTTTGGTATAGTCCCATTCATGCTACACTTTTTTGAGTGCCTTCCATGTGTTGGGTATTGAGAACATAATGATAAAGAAGAGAGACATAATCCTTGTTCTTGAGTTTACAATCAAGTGATTTATAGTCTTTTGGTGAGAATAGATAATAAGCAAAAATTATAAGCCATAATAAACTTTATGAATTTATCTATGAATTCTATGAATTTATGTTGACATGTTAAGGCTGTGGACTCTTAGAAAATGAATACCAGATGAGGTCCAAGTGGCTTTCCCAGGAAATAAGTCTTTGGGCCCCTCAGGTGTACACTTTTGCCTTGACCAGGTGGAACTTACAGATGTTCGTAGATCAGCAATATCTCAAGGGAAAGCAAGGCTGAGAGTAAGGAGGGTGGTGGTTCTGGCATCAGCTTTCAGTGTTCTTTATTTCACTGATGGGTGGGTGTCTAAATATAATTCTCTCTTGCCTGGCTAATGTGTGTTTATAACTTGTTTCCTTTGCCTTTGTAGATGTAGGTGCTCTGTTCAGGGTCTCCAGTCTAGAGAGTCTATCAGCACAACAGTTTTGGTTTAAGAATAGTTTATGCAAATATTTCTTTTTTTTTTTTTAAATATTTTATTTATTTGACACAGAGAACAAGCGGAGGGAGCAGCAGGCAGAGGGAGAGGGAGAATCAGACTCCCTACTGAGCAAGGAGCCCAATGTGGTGGGGCTCCTGAGCTGAAGGCAGATGCTTAACCGACTGAATCACCCAGGCATCCCTATGCAAATATTTCTAACTGGTGTTCCCTGAACTACTGAGAAGAAGAAGAGCAACAAGGAAGAGGTTAAACATTTGGAAGAAAGAGGAGGTAATTGTTGAAGTGAAGCTCTTGTCAGGAATGGGAGGATGGGATTCAGAGCCAGGAAAAAGATAGCTTTGGGAAGGAAGGAGAGCACATGACATGTGAAGATGTAGGGGATTTTAATATGTCTGTTGGCAGAAGTTGGGAGTAGTTATTTCATGGCTTCTGTTTTCCAAGGGAAGTAGGATATAAACTGATCTGTTGAGAAGAAATTTTCTATTTAATAATTATATATAGACAGTATAGAAACTGATGATAGCCTAACCTCTACTATAATATGACAAATTCATCATAAGACATGATATGTTAGGTACTAGACAGAGAGGAAGATGAATTTAGAGGATATAGAGGTGAATTATCAAGGCTTGTAAACATAAGTGGCATTTGAGTATTTTTTGAAGAATGTGTAATATTTCAAAATGTGAAGATTGGGGAAATTTTGTTTAAGATGTGGGAAATAGTGTGAATGGAAGTGTGCAAGAAGGGACACCTGGCTGGCTAGTCAGTGGAGCATGCAACTCTTATTCTCGGGGTTATGAGTTAGAGCCCCATGTTGGGTGTAGAGATTACTTAAAAATAAAATTTAAAAAAAGTGTGTAAGGAAAAGAATGCAGTTAGAAATAGCCTGAGTGCTGAGAACATGGGGTACAAAATGGTGAACAAGGAGATAAGGGTGGGTAT